AGTATAAAGCTTACATTATAGGAAATTTTCATGAGGAAATTTTTGAGCTGATGTGCCAGGAAAGATCAAAGATATATTTCCTTTTGAATTAAGAAATTAGAATGTGTTTCCCATGTGTTGTGAAACTTGTTTTTGTAAGTCAATCCCAAAGTAGCCCCTACTTGAAATATCATGAGAGCTTGGAGCATGGACAGAGGGGATGTCTCTGACCTTGTGCTGTCTCCATGGACCCATTTTCTGTGGGATTCTCGCAAGCCTCTGGCCTCCTCTCTCCGGGGTGCATTTCTGCTTTGCAGGATGGTGAGGTGCAGTCACTTTTTGATGATAATGATGTCCCTCTTGAAGAGAAAGGAGTTAAATTAAATTTTGCTTCTGGAAACCATCATATTAAAATCTCATTGCCATTAAGAAGTTCATAGTGTAGCTCTGGAGGTGCCATTTCCAACCAGATGTCTACATCTGCAGTGGAATATTCCTTTAAGAAAGCTTTACAACATGTACTTCACTCAACACGTCAATTCTACACTGTCTAAATCTTTGCAATCCAATGTGATCGCCACTGGTTCCATGTGACTATTGAGCACTTGTGATCTGGCTTGTCTTAATTGATACATATACTGGAGTTTGAAGATTTAACATGAGGTAAGGAAGTTCACAATTTTATGTGAATTAGTTATTGAAATTACATATTGAAGATATTAAATATGATATATCATTGATTTTGCTTTTTTATTATTTTATGCAGTTGTTAGAAAATAAAAAATTAGGGAATTGGGGACGTAGCTCAGCAGAATTCTGTAGCATGTGTGAGGTTTAATCCCCACCACAAAGAAAACATTTAAATTACCTAAGTGACATTTGATATTATGGAGCAGAGGTCTAAACCATTCTCTAGTGTATATGTAGTATGTGTGTTGAGATATGGTGACTTTCACTAAATTTTACCCCCTCTTTGTTATCATGTCCTTCTGTGTATGCCCTGGGGCACTCAGCAGGCTCCGTCACACCAGTGAGTAAATTCATGTTGAATGAATTTCTGGCACCTTCTTACTCTATCATTTCATGAAGCAGAGAAAATGACACTAGCTATTTGTGGGACCCTCAGGAATGTGGAGACCCTCTGGCAGGGGAGGCAGGTCTGGAGAGTCCACTGTGGAGCAGCCAGGCCATGAAGACCCTCCACAGGTTCCTGTGGTCAAGCCAGCTTCCCCATTAAACACCCATGAAACCACTCGGCAGGTACTTGGTGTCCACAGACTTGCGGGCAGTCTGGCAGTTCTGCTAATCATTCACCCTGCTTGGCTTCCTTCTCCACTACTGTGGGCAGATTCTGCTTTTTGTGGGAGATTCCTATCTTCAAAGTCCTGAGATCAGGATGCTCAGGTGTTAATGAACAACATAACATGTATCCTTGATGCCTGGCCAAGGCAGGGGGGTCCTGAGCATTCCAGAGGGGACCTTGGTGGGTCTACTTGTCTGCACTTGCAACCTCCCATTGCTGTTGGGCCAGTGCTGCTGTTCTCTCCTCCTTTCTGACCACAGATGGCCTGCACATAGTGGACAGGCACAGCTGGGGGAATGATTGTGGGACAGAGGCAGCTCTTTTGCCTGCAAGCCACAGGTTCCCTGGTCTGGACCTGATGATACTTGGATCCTATGATTTTACCAGAGCAAACCCAAGAACCAAGGAGAGCACCTGGGGTTCTCTCCTCCCTGATTAACACAGCAACTGTCACGGGCAGATTTTCCCCTTGAACTGCCTCCCTCTGAGCATTGGACTCTACAGTGCTTTCTAAGGGTTTGGATAATTCACCAAAGGTAGGAAGGAAAAAGATGATCAATGTTTCCCTCTACGTAACAACATCCATGTAAAATCAAGTCCAATATACTTTTTTTCTTTGTTTGTTGAGGTAAGGATATGATTTTCAGCAAATCAGGAGAGAAATGGAACTAGAACCCAAATGTATTTTCCACTTCCTCATATCCTTGTTAAAACCGTCTTTCTACCTCACTAACAGCAAGGGTCACTGCCAGGCTGTGGGGTAAGAGGTAGTTTTGAGTGTATCTTTTTCCAATATAGTTCACCTGCTTTTCCAACAGTGACTATACATTAAATAGAAACATCTAAAATTTGAAATTTAATGAGCAAAGTAGATCCCTTCAGAAAGCAGAACAAAGCTTTTTTCAGATGTGTTCGCATTCAATTCTCCAGTCCCACCAAATTTCTCAGTGGCAGAGGCAATCTGAATTATTGCCATCCTTAAGGGGAGACAGAGAAGTTTAAGTTTCCTGGCATTAAGCACACTTGAGAAAGAATAGGTGGAGACAGTCCCTGACTATGAAGGTTCAACCCAATACTTTTCAACTTTATAATATTACAAAAGCAACATGCATTTAGTAGAAACTGAATAACAGATACTGTGTTTTGATGGTTCCCTGGGCTACTGACACATATGGTGATTCTGCCTCAGATGCTGGATGGGGCCACAGCTCACAGTCAATTTCACAATCACAAGTGCAAACAATAGAACTCTACAGTACACTTGCTATCATGGTCAGTAGGTAGGCGGTATCAACTGCATTTTCTATTTAATCTGTTTTCATCTCTGATGGGTTCCTTAGGATATAACCCTGTCCTAAATTAAGGAATACTTACACTGGATCGGCTTGAGGGCTCAGGCAGTGTTGGGCATTCTGGTCTGTAAGTACGTACTACATATGAGTAAACCCTCCTTCTTCCCAATGGGGCGCCCACAGTATGCAGTGCCTCGGCTCTGCCTACAACAGTGCTTGTAGTGAGGATACTGGTTTATGCAGAAGCTTGAAGTCAGCATGGTTCACCATCTGATGGCCTTCCTGTTTCCTCAGGATCCCTACCACTCCCAGACACACTCCTATTCCCTGCACACTCTGCAACAAGCCCAGAACTGTTAAGGTACCCTATGAAGGCTTCACATGCTCTTGTACCAGGTTCTCCACCATCCCTTCTACCTGTGCTCACTGCCGGTTTCCCAATATCCACGACTGTCAGGGGCTAGAAGGAAGTTCTCCTTCAAAGAATAGCCTGACATTTACAAGAAATAGCCCCCTGGGAGACATCCTGCCTGGGAGACACCCTGCAGCCATCTATCTCCCTGAGACATCCTGCGACCACCTATCTTCCTGAAACATCCTGCAGACATCCTTGTGCAGACATCCAGCAACTGCCGATAAGACAGCTTCCCCATCCCCAGCATATAAATACCCCTGTGTGAACAATAAAAGTTTGCAGCTTGATCAGAACTCCTGTCTTGCTGTCATCCTTCTGTGTCTCTTGTCCCTTCATTCCTCCCCATCTAGGTTCGCTGCCCTCGTTGATGTGTCCTGCTGTTCGGGACACATGACTATTCCTAGGTGCATTAAACATTAGTCAACTAGAAAAATGAAGCTGATGATGGGTGAGTTCACATTAAAATATCAACAGCCAGTTTCTAGCTACATTGGTATCTACAGTTAAAGAACTATACCTTAATTTCTTGTGTTAGTTAAGGATGAATGGTAGACTATGAAGTGAGTGATACAGCACATAGATGATTTAAGAAAGGTACAGCTGCTTGGCACTGTGTGCACACCTGTAATCCCAGCTACTCGGGAAGCTGAGGCGGATGGATTGCAAATTTGAGACCAGCCTATGAAACTTAGGGAGACACTATCTCCCAATACAACATACAATGAGCTCATCAATAGAGCATCCCTAGGTTCAGTCTCCAGTATTGCAAAAACAAAACAAACAAACAAAAAACCCTCAAAAAAGTAGACCTTCCCTATCTGTGGAAGCTGGTGACAAAGTTTGTGGAAGACTGTTGCTGTGGAAGGTTGAGTGGATTGAGTGGTGGGCCTGACGTCATTTCAAGTGACAACAGTAAGGAAGAATACGACTTTAGGTGTGAAGTATGACAAGCAAGGACAAATGGAAACGTAAGACCAAGACAAACTGGAGCCATCTGTCTCTCACGACCTCAGTGGCAGGCAACCTGCACAAGAATCAGGTGCTCTTCCCGCCAAGGAGAAGCTGGGGGGAGCAATAAGCCTGGGTCCTGCCCACACCTGGAGGCCCCCAGCAGGATCGTTAGAGAATGCATGGGCTACAGTGGTGTCCTGCACTCCCCACCTTAAGGGTGTACTTGAGCTGCTGGCCTCACTTCCACTCCCAGGTTCTCAGGAAAATTTCCCTTGGAGTCAACCCGAACGTGAAGCCATCCAGGGAAGAGCATTCTGGGAATCATGTTTTAAGTTATGATGACACACTACAAAACCACCAGAGGCCCCCTAAGATCAATTTCAAAGGGTGGCTTTGGAGGTTCATTTACAGGCCAGTACATCTGTTAAAGTGATGAGGGGGGCATATCTGAAGGTAAGGAGAGGAGGTGAAGGGAGCATTCATTGTGGTCTGCAAGATGTGGCTGTCACAGAGAATAGAAACGCCAGGGAGAGGCTAAGTATGAACTACATGGCCACATATCCAAATGACTATAAATGTGTCCGCAAAAATATCTGACTTTATGTTGGGACAAAAGCCATGTCTCAGAAGTCCTGAAGGATCCTCAGGAGTTGCTGAGTGTCCAGGCTTTCTCTGGATACCCCAACCTGACCCCACTCCATTTCCCTCTGCCCTTCTCCTCTGAGCACCAGGGAGGACAAGAGTAAGGAAGACATGGGAGACAGGAACCCATACCACTAGCAGCTCCTCAAGGGCTGTGGAGAGGAGCCCCTGAATGCCCATTTCACAGCTTCCTTCTTTGGTAGAAGCCAGATTGTTCCCAATGTACCCAAGTGGGATGGAATAATGAGGCCATATTCCGCAAATGTGTAGGTCTGTGTCAAGAAATGTTTCCTCTCTGTGGGGAAGCAGAAGGTGGAATGAGATAATAAAAGCAGGTGGAAGGCAATTCTTTCCAAAGCCCAGGACCTGAAGTGGCCCCACCAGGTGTGGCAGGCCTGAGTTCTGAGTCTGTACCTCAATGGGAACCTTTATTGGTCACGTATGTCCAGGTCTGCTTCTGGTTTTGTATGGACTGTATCAAGCAATAGTGGTCTCCAGAGCTGTGATATTCAATGACTCTCTCCTGTATCCTTTGTGGTCTCCTAAGAATAAAGGGAGATGGGCCAGGCTGTGGAAACTATCCAGCGAAGGTTTGTTGAAGATAATGGCTGGCTCCCTCTTAGTGATTTATGAGATCAGCTGCACTCATGAAGCATTGAAACTGATGAACAGGGAGCTGCCACCAAGGTTTCTGTACCCCAAAGAGTGGCAGCACCTCACCATGTTCACCCTCCTCATACTCATGGGCTGTGTAGATGTCATGAGCAAGAACATGCTCCCTCAGAGGTGTGTGGCCCTAGAAAAAGGTGCCCTGGTCCTGTCTTTTTATGAGCTCCTGCTACTGATGGTGTCACATGTTAAGGAGTCATCGGGGATTGAGCTGCAAGTTCATTATCTGCTCATCTTGGTGGTGTTCCTGCTGTTGCTGGTGTTAACTGTAGAACTCTGGGCTCCTGAGATGTTTCAACTCTGGATGATGGAGACTTTGCTGATTCTGATCATGGGCTCCTGGCTGATACAGGCAGGCTTTATTCTGTACAGACCAGTCTCTGGTTACCCTTGGGATGATGATGACATGAATGACCTCATGTTTGTCACCACCTTCTTCTGCTGGCATGTGATGTGTGACGCCTTGTGCCTGTTTGCAATCTATGGCTTCTCTTACTTTTGGCATCATTGTTACTACTCCAGCTTGAAGATGATGGGGTCTAAAAAAGCTCCCTATCACAAGAGCACTCCAGAGCCCCTCTACAGGCTGTTGCAGGAAATAGAGCAGCCAGAGAAGGAAGACCAGGCTCCTCTGCTTGCAAAGAGCTCACCTCGAGACAAAGCCTAGAGTGCCTGGCACATACTTCACCCCATCTCCTCTTCCCCCATGGGTCCTCTCAGCCTCATGTGTGACATCCTTTTTTTGTTCCCCAATAAAGGTAACAGCCATAGAAGACAGCAGTTGGTGTATTTGCTGTCTCTGAGATATCACTGCTGAGATAAGGAGAGTCCTAAGAAAGGGATGTTTATGGAATTTGGGGAGAGGGAGGAAGAGGATCAGGGGAATAAATCAGCATGCAAGCAGAGCCTCAAAAGAAGAGAATGCAATAGAAGGGCTTTGAAGGGAGGAGTCTCTGCAGAGGGCGCATTAGAGTCCCCCAGGTATTCCATCGATGCTGCTTCTCCAGGCACCTGTGACTGCTTTTACCTGAGGGAATAAAGATTTCTGATAATTAAAAACTGGAATCATCCAAGCCTCATCCTGTTTCAGTGGGTATTGTGTGTGCTCACCAATGGGATTTATAATGGATGTACACAGTTTGAAATTATGCCCTTTTTGCCTCTCCCTTCCCCCGCTTACACCCAACTTTTAAGGTTTGGTACATTTCAGAATTTTATGCATAAAGTGACTTTAAAAAATAACTTGAATTTGCACAATTCAAGTTTTAATAGCATTTAAATGCTCAGTACTTTCTCGACTTCATTTTTTATTACTCTGTCGTCAAAGCTTATCTCTTTCACCATTGCCACCCTTGTACATGTAATGTATTGGACACAATCTTTAGGTCTTCACAAATTTGCATCCCTTGCATCTCACAGAAAGTTACATAAAGTCATACCTGGTCACAGTTTTACCATCTGATTAGATATTCAGCATAAACCCCACCTCCACCTCCACCCCTCTGAACATCTCCAAGGCGGCCTTCTCCAAGAACTCTTGAATTCTCAGGCACTTTCATCAAATCCACTTTGTTATTTTCCCCATACATCTGATTCACTTTGTTTTGTTCTGTTTGGGGAAATCATTTCCCTTGGGGAGGTTTTTCCTCACTGACACATGTGTAGGTACAGAGAGGGTAGAAACTTTGCTATATTTGGGTTACAAAATGTCCTAAAGTTTATGCCAACTATGAGACATAGCGATGCTTACTTACTAAAGGCTAATTTGTTCCAGAACATCCCCCTGTGCCTTCTAGATATGTTACAGACAGGTCAGAGGGTTCGTGAACCTCTGGGCCACACCAGCAGTCCTAAATCTTGAGTCACTGACTTAGTAACAGACTGACTTTCTTCCTGGCTCTTGGGGATAGTAAAATCTAGTAACCTGTTTCCAAACTGTTTACTATGATTGATTTAAAAAAAAAATCCTCACAACTGTTTCTATTGATTTGCTCTAGTCTCAGAGCTGCCATAAGGCTGGACAGGAGTTCAAACGCAGGTGTGCTAGACCCAAATCTGTGACTGTGTCCTTCAGGCCATAGTGACTTTGACAAGGGAAATGGAGAAGGAAGTAATCCTCAAAATGAAATAAGGAGGGAGGGAGGAAAGGAAGGGTAGGGGGCAGTTCAGCCAGAAGGCCCAGGTGGAGGAAGCAGCACGGTGTATATGCACTGGACACCCCTGAAGGGGGTGCTTATGTTACACTTGCTGTCCCACCCTCACCACGGCCCCTCGCCTCTGGGAATGAGAATGAATCTGGCCTACTCTCAACCTTTGGCTCAGTGTTAGATCTCTGTGTTCAGGTCCAAGTGAGGGCAGAGATCTGTTTGTGACTAAGCCTTCCAGCCATTGCACTTCCCTTTTATTTTCGCTTCCCAGACTCTGATCAACTGCCTTTCTTTGGGGTCCTCCTTTCTCTTCACCTCTCTTACACATTGATGATAGAGGATGAACAAGCACAAATGCTGTTAACCGCCCATTTCCAGGCACTTGAGGTCTCGTTTTGTAAGGATAAACGTCTTATAATCATGCAACAATCCCAACATAATCTCTCTCAAATAGCCACATAAGCAACTGCACTTGTGTATTATTAATTTACCGTATATAAGATGTAACAGAAAAGCCCACCCCTTGGACAGTTAAGAAAAAACTTGCCACTCATGCTTGGGGAACAAGTTTGTAATCCTCACAAAATTCCACCAGAGGGCACTATGTTCCCATAGCCTGGGGACAAGCAATTCGTTCTTCAATCCCAGTACACAAGTCTCCTAAGAACTTGTTTTAAAAGTGGGAGAGGGCCAGGTGCACGGGTCACACCTGTAATCCCAATCACTAGGGAGGCTGAGGCAGGAGGATCCCAAGTTCAAAGGCAGCTTTAGCAATTTAGCAAGGCCCAAAGCAACTTAGTCTTAGTGAGACCCTAATTTAAAATAGAAAATTAAAAAGGCTGGGATGTGTCTCAGTGGTTAAGCACCCCGGGTTCAGTCCCTGGTACCAAAAAAAAAAAAAAAAAAAAGTGAGAGGCAGAAGGAGGGCAGGAAAAGTACAGAAGCAGACTAAATATTGCCCAAGCATCCAAAAAACACCCTAGGGCTATTTCCCATTAAAATTTGGCACACAAAGGTGAAATAAACAGGGACCCAAATCAATTAATGGGGTTAGGGGTGAGGCAGGAAAAACTGGATCCAGTTGAGGATTTCTTTGGGAAAAGTACCAAAGAGCATTCTGACCCAAATAAGTTTTTGATCAGAGTGCCAAATTGTCTAAACATTTTTTTCTTTTTCTCTTTCCACATTTTTTATGGGTGCATTATAGTTGTACTTAATGATGAGATTCGTTGTTACATATTTGTACATGCACAGACAACAATATAATTGGGCTATAATTTCCTAAACTTTTAAAAAGCTTCAATCAATCTAGAGATCTACATATGCATTGAGAATAGGAAACAAAAACGATCTAGGAAAATCCCAGATTCTCAAATGAAACTAAGGAAAGATTATTATATGTGACTAATAATCTCCAAAGATTACTTTACCCTACTGACTTGTGTCCGTCCACCTGTGTGTTTGTGTGTGTGTGTGTGTGTGTGTGTGTGAGTGATGCTGGCAGTGGAAAGCAGGGCCTTGAGCACACTAAGCATGTTCTCTACCACAGAGCTACACTCTAGCCCCTCCAAAGATCCCTTCAAAGAGAACCAGCTACATAGCACCTATTTTCTCATATCTTGGTTATTCACAAAGAAAATGTACACAGAATGGTCACTATACCGAAGTCACTGGGTAAACTGTAATATAAGACTTTGGGGTAAACTGGTCGGTCCCTGTACTCTGTACTTTCTTCAGTGGTTTGGTAGGAATTTCATTATTTTAGAAGTCGTGGCCCAGGAACTCCACCCACAGGCTAAGGACACTGAAAGAAGGGGACCAGAGAAATGTGCTCAAAGGAATGGCACCTTGGAAGTACATTTAGGTTGTGGAATCTGTCCTAACCTGACTTCAGCAAGTTACAAGTTACCTAGGCCTCAGTTTCTCCTCTTTAGGATAAAAAGGCATGAAAATCTAATGCCAGAACTGTATGGCTGTAATTTTCTCTATAAGACTTATTTCCCATGTTGTGAGGTAAGATGAACTTGACTTTTCCCAATTTTCCAAGCAGATTCCTAATAAAGACAAGACTTAGAATAGAGCTCAAACAGACCCAAGCCTTCCATCCTAATGCACAGTGTGGCAAGTGGAGTGTTCCCTAAATTGAAATGATTTCAGTGAGTGTTTGACAAAGACTCAAATCAGGCTTAGGAGACATAGCTGAGGTTCAAATCTCAAATTTCCTTTTCTCAATTGAAGAGTATCAAATAATCAAGATACATAAAGAATAATTCTTGTGCTCAGTGGTTGGTTACTAAATTGAAGTATAATCTGGTCCTTCCTTCTGTAATTGTGGAGAGTGAAGTTTGTAAGGTCACCCACCTATACCTTCTTCCCAAAATATGGTTTAAGAGTAATGCTATTAACTTCCAAAGCTGTTCTTCTTTTTTTGTCTTATTATTTTCTTTTTATTTATTTATTTATTTATATTATTGGTTGTTCAAAACATTACAGAGCTCTTGACATATCATATTTCATACATTAGATTCAAGTGGGTTATGAACTCCCATTTTTACCCCAAATACAGATTGCAGAATCACATCGGTTACACATCCACATTTTTACATAATGCCATATTAGTGACTGTTGTATTCTGCTACCTTTCCTATCCTCAACTATCCCCCCTCCCCTCCCCTCCCATCTTCTCTCTCTACCCCATCTACTGTAATTCATTTCTCTCCTTGTTTATTTTATTATTTTCTTTTAAGATTCAATTATGGGGCTGGGGATGTGGCTCAAGTGGTAGCACGCTCGCCTGGCATGCGTGCGGCCCGGGTTCGATCCTCAGCACCACATACAAACAAAGATGTTGTGTCCGCTGAGAACTAAAAAATAAATATTAAAAAAAAAAATTCTCTCTCTCTCTCTCTCTCTCTCTCTCTTAAAAAAAAAAAAAGATTCAATTATGGTCTATTCTTTTGAAAAGAATTGATGTTGGTTTATTAAACAAGTAAAGAAAAAGTTGACAATTCAGGTCAGATTTTTAAGGTGCCCCCAATCCTGACTTTCAGTTGTGCCCCCTTTTCACTGATTACCTTTGAAACAACAACACAGGCCCTGGAAAAGCCCTCTCAGAGCACTGGATTAAAGGCTTCAGACCTACAAAGTGAGAAGAGTTCTTTTAAGTGAGAAAGAAGTTGTGAGGAGAACTCAAAGGTAAAGCCCACCCAAGACAAGGCCTTCATTTCAGGCAGTAGAGCAACAATGAAGAAATGTGCTTAGTCCTGGGCTATGTCTGCAGATCTGGAATAAAATCTTCTGTAATATTGCTCTCCCACTCCACCCACCCCTGGGACAGAACAACTCAAAGAGAGAGAACCTAGCTTCAAAGCACATGCCCTAAGAACCCCCTTCTCAGCTTTGAAACTGTGCACCCAGAGACTGAAAAGTTCATGAGTCCAAGAATCCTAATGTTCTTTTTATGGAGGGGTAGAAAATGGGGGCGGTGGCAATTTATGGAAGAAGGGGAAGAAAATCAAAG